GCCACATATACCCAGGCTGGTAGGTCCAAGTTGGAATCCAGCCTGGGCCAGCTAAACAAGAATGACAAATGCAACAAAAAAATAGCCGGGCGTTGTGGTGGCTGCCTGTAGTCCCAGCTACTTGGGAGGCTGAGGCAAGAGAATCACTTAAGCTCAAGAATTTGAGATTGCTATGAGCTGTGTATGCCATGGCACTCTACTGAGGGCAACAAAGTGAGACTGTGTCTCAAAAAAAAGAACATAATTTTGAGACACTGTTGGACTTAAAAGAGGTAGTGGAAGTCCACACAAAAGGGAAGTACTAGGCCAGAAAGGTGGAAAAGGGCAGCTCTGCTCTGCGGCTGCTGTGGTGCAGAGCTGGTCACCACACATCAGAACCTAGTAGCCACATAGCATTGCCACCCTTGTGCCACCTTTCTCCAAGGAGGACTAAAGTGATCTCTGGTGGTTAGTGTTCTCTGGCTACTGACAGAAATAGAAGCAAATCCTCTCTGGAAGAAGTCTTCCCCTACTAAGGATTCTAAGACTCCATCAGACTTCAGATCAAGTCATGAGCTCCCGGAGATCATAAAACATGCAAGAAGGTAGGTCACTGAGAGTAGTGGGAGTCACCACACACAACACACAGAGATACTTGAATTGTTGTGTAGTGAATACAGCTTAGCTATGTATAAAATATGTGAATAAATTAAGGTTGTGAATGCAACAGAGGACCATGAGGAGCCGGGTGCAGTGGCTCACGCCTATAATCCCAGCACTTTGGAAGGCCAAGGCAGAAGGATCACTTGAGGCCAGGAGTTCAACTTGAGGCCAAGGCAGGAGGATCACTTGAGACCAGCCTGAGCAAACTTAGATCTCATCTCTACAAAAGTAGAAAAATTAGCTAGGTGTGGTGGCACACCACACCTACAGTTCCAGCTACTCGGGGGGCTGAGGTGGGAGAATCACTTGAGTCTGGAATGATCAATCCACTGCACACCAGCCTGGGCAATGTAATGAGACATGGTCTATTAAAAACAAAATAAGAGGCTTGGCGCCTGTGGCTCAAGTGGCTAAGGCGCCAGCCACGTACACCCAAGGTGGCAGGTTCGAATCCAGCCCAGGCCTGCCAAACAACAATGACAGCTGCAACCAAAAAATTGCCAGGCGTTGTGGTGGGCGCCTGTGGTCCCAGCTACTTGGGAGGCAGAGGCAGGAGACTCACTTGAACCCAGGAGTTGGAGGTTGCTTTGAGCTGTGATGCCACGGCACTCCACCCAGGGGACAGCTTGAGGCTCTGTCTCAAAAAAACAAACAAACAAAAAAAAATACAAAATAAGAGGCTCGGCGCCTGTGGCTCAAGCAGCTAAGGCACCAGACACATACACCTGAACTGGCGGGTTTGAATCCAGCCCAGGCCTGCCAAACAACAATGACAGCTGCAACCAAAACACAGTTGGGCACTGTGGTGGGTGCCTGTAGTCCCAGCTACTTGGGAGGTAGAGGCAGGAGAATCACTTGAGGCCAGGAGCTGGAGGTTGCTGTGAGCTGTGATGCCATGCACTCTACCCAGGGCAATAGCTTGAGGCTCTGTCTCAAAAAAAAAAAAA